AAAAAAAAAAGCACAGAATAGGTCCTTATCTTTCACACTATCTCCATGTGTGACTGTAGCAGAAGACACAGACTGGTATGAATTCATTTATAAAGATTTATACAGATCAATCTATATTGGTACACAACTACAAAAGGAGAAGAAAACCAACAGGTTAAGTAATAAGCTCAGGAGTACGCCCTCACAAGAGGAGATTAAGAAAAACAGGGTGCCAAGAAAGAAAAAACTTAAAAAATAGAATACCACAGGGCCATGCAAGAGATCAGAGTTCCAAAGGATGGGCAGGTCAACAGTATAAACACAAGAGCTATTTTTCTGGTTACCTTATCCAACTGCTGATGCTGCTAAGTCTAGGATAGGCAATATACCTGTAACTTGGTGCTCATTAAGAGTTTTTCTAGTGAGAATTCATACTTCCATCCAAACTCCCTGCGACTCATAGCTGGGTGACCTTGAGCAAGTTATTTAAACTCACTGTAACTGAGAGACTTTACCTGTAAGCAGTACCTATCAGAAGAGGATACTGTGAAGATTTACTGAGCTAGTTCATGTAAAAAGCACTTAAAACAGAGCCTCCCACATGGTTTAATAAATGTTAATTATTATTCAAGAGGTAGACTGACAGGACTGGATGATTAATTGAGAGAGATAAGCTTTTAGGGAGAGCTTAGTTAGTGATGCCTGGATCTCCCAACTGGATGTTATTCACAGTGGAATAACAGAAAACAATGGTGGAATCTTAAGGATTGAGATGATTAGCTCAGTTTTTAAGTGAAGAACTTGTTATCTCACAGAATCCTGCCTTCTACAACCCAGAAGGACTCTAGTAATATGAATGTCACTTTTTCTGACTTTTCAGTACTACTGCATTTTTTAAATCCTATTTTTAAATTCCTTGGTCATTTCAACAGATATAGAAAAGGATAAGTCAGTAGCTTCTGCTAAAAGCTGCTATATTGCACAGAAGTTTTCTGTTTGGTAATTTTAACACTTATTTTTATTAGAAAACATTTTCTGGAAGACAGTACTCCAAAAGAATCCAATTAAAAGCATTTTTAAATAGTATTTTTGGGGTAAACTTTAACTGAAAATTTGTGACATAAAGACTATCCTTAATGCTTAGATGTTTTTATTCCTAATTTTAGCTGCTACTTCCAAAGCATTAATTTAATAATATT